ACAACAAAAAATTAGAATTACAATAATTCAACTTATAGTGATGAATCTTGAAATGAAGTTTGAAACACATTATGTCCATGGTACATGGACGACATCCGTACATGCAGCATGAGATGTGGATGTCGTCAATGGACGACATCCGTAGCGAGAGGGTTAATTTATTCATTTGAATCTATTTCATATTGGATGTTTAATAATTAAACATGGTTTTTAAACAATTTAAATAAAATTTATATCCTATGAACTGAATAACAAATTTATTGAGATTATAATCACCATATTAATGCCTTCAAATATACGTAATTTTAAATCGTGTTAGCTTATAATATGTACTTAACGGTTTTATTTTTATTGATTTATTTATCTTGTTTTATTTCATATGAAACCTTATGATTTTGTGATAGATTGTATTGTATTTTGTGATAGATTGACATGATAGCAGTAATTGCACTGTAATTTTACTAATTATTACCTAGAACTTGCGCATACAGAATTATTTCAAATATCTGCACTCGTGCCATTGATTATCCAAATAGTGAATGATTTAAATTATAAATTATATATTTCTTTCATGAAATAATACTTATGAAAACTTGCGTAAAATGTTTGGTATCAATTGTTTTGCACATATGGTGCACGAATGTTTCCTCTTCCTAAAATTAGATTATTATTTCTTTTACACTGTTGAGAGCAACATATGTGCAGAGCTAAATGAGAGATCTGCAAGGCTTTTCCATATTGCATTTTGGCGATTACAGGTAATGTGCTTTATGAACATGAATTCTTTTTGGATTCATTTGATCAGGCTTGGGTATCGAATATTGCTCAATATTGTTATGGTTTTCGAAGATCTACATGGGACATGGGAGTTCCCCTATTTTATGCTTTCCAATATAATTGTCGAAGTGCCCACGAATGATCAAACAAAATTTATGCAATAAGTAATAGCCTTTTAAAGCTTGATTTAAAACTCTGGCTTCTTTTAACTTAAAAGAAATATATGTGTATTTGCGATACGTCGTTATAGAATTTATTAAAACTCTCCTTCGATTAACTCAGGTTGTTGGGTTATAATTCAACCCTTGTAGCTGTGGACTGTATTAAACACTGATTTGTTTTGTATTTGTATGTATTTGTTGTAGTTCTTATCACAATCACTGATTTGTTACTAAGTTATAATGCAAGAAGATATATTTATTGATTATTCATTATCCATGTTGTTTCGCGGGCTTTCCTTTTAGAAGTGAACAATTAGTTACATCGAACTCTCCGCTACCCACTCTACCAGTGGTAGCAACCATTCCGTGTAAAAGCTCAATGCCATTAAGATTGTCACCTTCATGGCCAATATAATAAAACGAAAATACGTCCGAACAATATGGATAGGCTAGAATACCATATTAAGATTTTCATTTCAGAAGGACCTCAATGTTTGAAAAGATATTTCAAATACACTAGAGTTAACTGATTTCACATCAGTAACATATAATGAATAAGCTAATTATATCTTTTCTATTTACCAACAAACCATATGTTTTGGTGGTAAATAAGTCGTTGATGAGTGAGGAAAACTTTGCAATTGGCAACATTGAATTATCGTAATGAAAAGATCTACATAAAATTACGACATGACGCAAATTTTTGATCACCCTGCCTCTGCTTCTCATGATTTTACCAAAATAGCTGACTAACACATGTATGTGTGCACTTGAAAATTCGCGCAAACTTCTAGAAGTAGATCTTGCGCATGTTTATAATATTATATATATATATATATATATATATTTATATATATATATATTTATATATATATATCTATAGATATAGATTTACCGATACAAATAGATTTCACGAATCTTGTTTCTTAAAGAACTTCTTTAGTCTTGAAATAGCCGGCGCGTGATATAAGTCGTTCGAACCGATCAGCATCGAAATTTTGAGTCGCGCTCAAATAGTTTGGGTGTTTTTGCAATAAATATTTTAGGTGTATTATCTAAATCAATATTTTAAAATTCATTGCAAGTTACTGTTGTTAAAAATTATTAATTAGTAATTTAGTAATTACTCATTAACCTAATCATTTTTGCTTCAGACCTTTTATTTTGTTTTACATATAATTCTAAATTTATATTTCTCCTAATTGCGCATTGTGATTTATTCATTAAATATATATAAGACATAAAAATACTGTTTATCTTATTAAATTATAGTTAAATTTCAGTGTGCACATAACAATGGCAACATTTTACACCTACAAAACGTCGTACACCACGGATCACGGAAATAAAATGGATGATTCTGCAACACTTTGGGTAAGATTATATATTGAACTATTTGTACCCGATCACAACACGTTGCTATTTAAAAAATAAAAAAAATGAACCAATGCATTAAAAAAAGTGTTAAAGTTTAGCAGTTCCTAATGAAAATATTCTTTATGTAAAATTGGACTTTTATTATTTCATTAGCTCAAAAAATCTCAATCGAAATTCAGTCAAAGATGTTTACTGATAGAATTTGAGGTAAAAAATAATTTAATTAATATAATTACACTTTTAAAATTCTTACAAAATAGGGGTTTGTGGCAAGAGGGTTATATGTAAAATTTAGGGTTATATGTAGTTTATATACACGCATTATATAAAAATATGAATTGACTCAAAAATAAAAACAAATTTTGGGGGTGGGAAACCACTTGTTTTCAATCAAAATATGCGAAAACCTGTCCAGGGATGTACCAAACAGTTTCCCAAATTATCACGGCGAATGGATGTACGGTTTATGAATACATTGGACATACACGGACATACAGACATACAATTATTTATATATATATATATATATATATATATATATAGATTGACATTGTTTTTAAAATATTGTCTGAAATTATCAAAATCTTAGATGTTGGTGATGATGTTTATTACAATACTTACACAGCAATGGCTAGTAAATATTAAACAGTCAAGCAGTTTATTTGGAATCTTATTATTTCTTGAAGAGATTGCTTATGTCTTATACAAAACTTGATATCGTTTTCGATTTACTTAAAAAGATAATTTTAAAGATTTCTTAGTTAAACTGTTTTTTGTTTAATCTTGTTAGATTAAACAAAAACAAAAATAAATCAAATATTTTTATTCCATTTATACTACCGAATTTGGAATGCAAACATTGAGTTAGTTAGTTTTTTGGTTATGAGCACTGTTGTTTAATTAACGAGATCTTAATATATTTTTTAGTATACGTTATTAAATTATTTTATAAGATGTATTGTTAACTTTAAGTAAGATTCAACCGTTTTGTTTATATAATCTCTATAAAAGCTTACACGTTGGCGGGATGAAAAGGACCAACTGAACCTTTACCCTGGCAAAGGTGTAAATAATAATAAATATGTAACTAAAATAACAATTATAACAAAATTTTTAACGGTGGTATATGGCATTTTTTTAAACAATTAATTTTTTCTTTGGCTATACTATTGAAACATGTGATAAAAGAAGTAAAGAGTTGGATGTTTTAAAGGGTCACATTCCAATAGCGTTTCAAGCAATTGAATTGATATTTTGGCGGCTTGTAAGCGAAATTCGCTGTGAAGCAATAGTTTGTAAAAATAACTAATCGTGAGGCAGTATGTATACATCATCTGCACGAACATATAAGACAACTAACTAAACAACGATGAAACATGAAGCTAACAAATTACAGCGCAGAATTCAATGTTTTGGTATTAATTTGGACAAGTTTAATATGATATATTGTTATACAACTTACATCTTTGAAAAATCATATAAACAATTTACTTAAATACAAAGTCAAAAAATAAACTATTAAAAAAGAAAATTTTACAATTCTTGTTTTTTTGATTCATTGGCGTGATCCCTTGATCTTTACCTATATATTTTAGTCATTGCATTTTTGATATCGTATTACAAATATAAATTATTAATTTAATTTTAAATATTTTTCATTTTTGTTAGAATCTTACAATTAGATTGTAATTATAAATTTTAATTAAATATAAACAACGTTTCAAGGAAAAATGTGCTCATTTTAGTACTTGTAGGTTTAATACATATACATTGTTATAATATATACATTTAATTTTCAAGCACATTTACATTACGATGATTGAAATAGCTATTATAGATATATAGTTAGAAGGTATTATATTTTTGACTTTTTTTTACAAATGTTCAAAATAGACCTAATTTATACTTTTACTTTTTTCATGTGTCTTTTTTATGTTTTTTGTTTATCTTACTGTTTAGTTTTCTTACGTTTTTTATTTCATTCTATCAAACAAATTCTTAAAAAATTATTTTTAAATTATTTGTGGATAAAAATCCAAAACGTTGAAGCAAATCTATCAATGAACATGGGTGTGTATTCTGATTTTTTATGTAAGAAAATTGAACCATGCTGCTTTTGATTTTTTTTAAATTTCGATAATAATGAGATTTTAATTGATTTTTTGCCAAAAGTGTTAACATAGCACTAGTAAACGCATTTAATACATTTCTTTAGTTGTGACGTTATTTTTAATTGTTTTTTGTAAATGGTTTTATGATCAAAAAAGTGAATGAATTCGAATTTTAATATTTTCTCAAACTAATTAAATTTAATATTCATTATTTTATTAGTTCTTTTACATATATATATATATTAGTTTTGGCTAGAAATGTCACCGCTGAAACTATGTACTATATAAACTGTGTACTCCTTATATTTTTAGAACATTATATTTTGAGAAAAATACGGCACAAGGCTGAAAATTTCTATTTGTGTTCGCACAAAATTTGCTATTTTCTTGAGTAATACTGTAGTACCATGATGTCAATATAATTTACAAGAGCAATAAACTATTATATAATCATCTTATCAGAAAGATAAAAAAATAATAATTATATATGCTTATAAATAAGCAATTTGCGTTGTGAGAATATTCTGAAAAAAAAATAGCAAAATCAAATTTGAATTACATTTTGCAAGATATCCAGCAACATTTGACAGTTTTTTTAAGATAGGAGATGACATTTTCTAAAAATTACTATACTAGTGCTTATAAATTAGGTATATGTATGGAATTATATGGCACGAGTAACTACTTTTACAGTATTAATCAGTTCATAATATGTTTTCAAGTGATAATATTCTTCACTGGTATCTAATTAAAAATATATCATCAGCAATAAAAAACCTAATAAAAATATATCAAATATGGATAGACCAACCTGTCTTCTGAAAAGTGATTTTGTGAAGAAGTCATTAGTAACAGTTCACAGAACTGTTAAGTTCTAATTGCTATTCAAAAATAAATAATAAAACAATTAATTGGTATCTTCGTTCAACTGCCTGTCAGAAACACAGATTCTTTATTTTTTAAACCAAAGACAGTATATGATGAGCTAGAGTCAATTTTCCATTATAATTTTTGTGTTTATATTTCGATTATAAGGAAGGTGTTACTTTTGGCAGATATTCACGGATCAAAAAATATACGTGGGCAGCAAATGCATTATATTGCTGCAGTTGCCAGTATTTTGACGCAATTACGGGATATGAGCCAAATTAAACCGTCTGTCTTGATGCATATATTTTGAAATGTCAATTTTGTTTTATTATCAATGACTTGATTTTAATGCGAAATTGACTATTCCGATTGAAAGAAAATTGTTAGTTATTACAATGTCAGTTAAATAAAACAACATAATATCAACATGTTTATTTTAGATTAAATGATACATTTTAATGTATTAAATAAAAATCTATTAGTTTTCTTTGTATTGGTGGCTTAGTATATACGTTTATTTTATTAAATACTAGCTGTACCAATTCACGCTTTGCCGTGTTTTACTTTCAATTAAAAATTTAAACCAAAATGCATATGTGTGATATCTAGTCCTGTCCACCCGTTTAGCTGTCAACCTGTTTATCAGTCTACCAATTACCTGTTCAACAATTTACTTGTCTACCAATTTACCTGTCTATCAATTAGTCTATCTACCAGTTGTCATATTGTCCATTTTATTTATCTTCGAGTTTATCTGTCCACCATTTTACCCATATCTACCAATTTACCTGCCTGCCATTTCATCTGTCTAAATATGTATGTAAGCATGTATAAAATTTTGTATAGTTTTGAAAATTTTGAAAAAAACATGCTGGAAATTTTGAAATTTGTTTGAACCGTATAAGTGAACTTTAGAAATTAAAAATCTTGATACGGAACCAAAAACAATGTAACAAAATTAATTCACATGTTTAAAATCTCTATAAAATATCTGATAATTTGATATGCATATGTCTAATGATCATTTTAGACCGCTAAATATCATTTTTTTTTACATTTTTTCTCTGTCTCCGTAACCGCTAGAGCTGCCTTTCTAAAAATTTAATCAATTCTTCATTTTGTTCAAATTAAATCATTTAATTCGGGCGCTCCGTTGCTTCAATAACTGAATTACCATTTTTGGCACTTTTTGCTCCGTATCTTCGAAACGGCAGGACCTGCCTTAGATAACAGTGAGTGCTTGTAATTTAATATGAACTTTATATTATAGCAATGAAGCTGAAATTGATTCAACGTTTTTGTTAGAAAACGTTTGTATGTGAAAAAAGGGCAGTTTTTAGAGTTTTTCCGGCAATTATTCGTTTTTTTCTCGCCGTAAGAACAATCTTTGGACTTCAACAAACATGTTAAAAAAATAATTGGCCAAATTGATCCAGGCGTTATTGAGTTATGCGCTTACCAACACATTTTGCGATTCATTTTTATATATAAGATTATTACTTTATAAAAGTTGTATATGATACATTTTTATAATCATATTTCCAAAATAATATATTTTTTTTACTAATTTCGGTATTGGTAATTAAACAGTAGGGTAGGGCAGGACGTAAAGCTCTAATTTGACTTTGATCTAAACTATATTTTGAAAACTAATTGATTGTATAATATAAATTTTGTGGGTGGATTTTTTACAAAGATAACTCTGTATATAACCGTGATCTGGTATTTTGTCAGAAATATTCATCAGCAGAGTTCGAATAAGTATTTGTTTACTTTGTTTTTTAAAATGGCCTTTTTAACTTAATTTATTCTTTTATTTGCTTTTACAAATTATTTTGCTTATACATTTTTTTCCCTCTACTTTCAAATATGTTGTTAAAAAATTAATAACTTTACTGGTTTTTGAGATATCTGTGGTGGTCTTTTTTATTGAAGACCTTTTATTGGTTTCTACAGTATAATTATTTGATGTTAAACAGGACCTTTTTGCCCCGACATTCTTATACCTATATAAATTTAATTATGGCTTATTTTTAAATTATAAATAATCTAATATTTATTTAGTGCATTGAATTATCCTCTATATAAATCAATAAAGCCATAACAAAAAAAATTATACTTATATAATTATAATACAAACAAAGCTGTTTCGTTGTCTTAAACTTACACATTTGATATTTGAAATTATTGACTGAATGCGATACACAGTTTTGTGATTAACTATTTATTATCTTATTGATCGTTATTATAATCAACATGAAAAATGGTTTATTAATATTCCTGTAAATTTTATTATAATTATATTTCATTTGATATTGATATCAAATATAATTTTTATATAACAATTTACCAGTCTATAATAAGTTTAATGAGTAATTACTTCACTATTTGTTTATTAAACATTTTTCATGAAGTAATTATAATTACTATAGTATATATACTTCTACCCAGATTTTCCGATCTTTTTAGTGACCTAACAGAACTATTTGCAGCAGACCATTGTTATTGCAATAAATTTAAACAAAAAAAATTGATCACAAATTATTAAACTAAATCTTACAATCCACCATCTTATTACAGTGCCAGCAACAACGCCCAATCGATTATTGTTTTGAGTTTTAGAATGATATAATTAATCATGTATAAATTGAAACACTAAGTCCAATATTTATAGTTATACATAACGAGCTATTAATAGTTATTAAAGTAAACACATGTATATTTTATATCGTTCGACTCTTACTTAATTTCCATTATATAGTAGACGTCGAGCGTATTTATTTTAAAATTTCGCTTTATTTATGGAACTGAAATCCGTATAGCCATCAATAAATGTAAATCATTGACTATTATCTAACTGGAAAATTAGCTATTTGTTTCAAAATAATTTATAAATTGGCTTTAACTTGAGATTTTGTTGGCATTTCATTAATGTTATTATTTGAATTGTATTATTTATATAACCAAAATTGATAGTCCTGCAACAGATTTGTTTTTCAGCAAATGTTAGTATTTTTATAAAATAGAGTATGAATTATATTTTAGTATGTCTTCCTAAATATATGAAAACAAACTAATATTTATTTTTCTAACAATTCATAAATTTTATGTATGATGATTTCCATCATTTAACCTATGTGAAATATTAAAGATTTTGTTGTTTACCGTATATAGCATACTCAAAAATTGTAAGATTTATTTGGATTATCATTCTTTTCATACATACGATTCACAAATATCTACTTATTTTTTACATATAATGGCTTATAATGTAAATAATAAAAAATTAAGGCATCAAAATGTTTTGATACAATTTCAACAAATTTGAAAAAGGATTGCTAGGCGGCTATTATAATTTAAAAAAAAGCCTAGAGTTACCCTCGAAATAAAAAGATATAAAATACTATGTTGAAAATAATTTCGATCGTATTAGATAATTCCAAAAAGCATGGCCAATTTTGTAGTCAACTTGGAAAGATAACTATTAGAAATTAGACTAACTAATTATGGGACCTCCTGGAAGGGTGTAATCTGATTTAGCATGGATTCGAAAGACCAGTAACAACTATCACCATTTCGAAGAACAAAAACAAATATTATAAGAAAATTTGGTGTTATTATCTATTTAAGAGTAAGTGGGTAACAAAATGTATGAGAACTTTAGAAATTATCAAATAAATGAAATAAATCAGCAAGTTGATGTAAATTAATACGATTTAAAAATATTTGAGAAATAGGAAATTTTAAAACAAAGCATAAGCCGTCATAAATTTTTAAATAAATTTGGAAAAAAAGTCACAACATACACATATATTCATTTTTTCTAAAGTATGATCAGGAGATCTTCGTTAATTAATAAAGTTAACAACCGAGATAAAATGTAAAAACGTTTGGCAATTCCGTTCATTCAGATTATTTATTTTATAAATACATGATTTCCTGAAGGAGAAGTTTTTGTTTTTCTGTAAATAGTTCTGCAACCAGACATAATATTTAAAGTAATCCAAGGTTGTGAAGGTTATAAAATATATGAAGTGTGAATATATGCATTAACAGATTATAGAGGCATAAAATATGCTTAAAGAATTTATATTATGAGACATGGAATGTGTTATTATCTTCGATATAAATTATGGATTAGTGGGGTTACACATTATTTTTATTTATAATATATGCAAACACAAGTACACATATGTATATATAATATGTATAATGTATATAATGTGTATGTATGTATAAATATAATATGAAATTTTTTGGTAGTTATGGAATTATAATTGCATGTACACCGAATAAAAATTAGAATTTCATGGTTCTATCTGTTAATATATGCTTTATGAAATATTATGTTCCATGAATAAGGTGCGCAAAAAGTCAATGTGCTGAGTAGAAAACATGTTAAATTATAATAGTATTATTAACATATATTAAAATAAATAGAAGACACCCTATACCCTTGTACTAGGTCTTTTGACTGTAAATTTGTCAAGCACAAAAAACACAATTCCATTTCATTTCTTTTAATTTTTATGATTGAAACTTGCACTTTATTAACACTTATTGTCATTTGTCTATTTTATTACATGAAATATATTTATTATCTAAGCTGCACCATCGATATCTTAAAAAACAAGTGAATTTTTAATAACAATATTTGAAAGTAGAGGAAAAAATATTTACAACCAGCCATCACCTTGATTCTTACGACGCCGATGTTTGAAAATCCATAGCAAAAGTTTTTTTTTCGTTGTTAGATTTTTTCGTTTGTGAGCATTGTTTAGTTTACGAGACCTTAATATAATTTTTATTTAATACGTTTTCTAAGATGTATTGTTAGTTTTAAGGTAAATTCAACCGTTTTTTATATAACCTTAAGGACCAACTGAACTTTAACTTTATATAAAAGTGTAAACAATGAAAAATAGTAAATTAAGTTAAAAGAGCAATTTTACAAGAGTAATTTAAATAAGTATTTATTCAAAATCTTTGATGAAATATCAGAGCAAAGTTATATAAAAATTAATTTTATAAAAACTCATGCGTGGGTAGGGTAAAACAGACCGACTGAATTTTTACCCTGGCAAAGGTGTAAACAATAAAAAATAGTAAATAAACAAGGCAAAAGAAGCAATTTTACAAGAGATAAGTTAAATAAATATTTATTCCAACTTTGCTGATGATTTTTTTGAGAAAATGCTACATCAAGGTTATATAGAGTAATATCTCTGTAAAAATGTACCCGTGAAATTTATATTTTGCATTAGTTGAATAATGTAGCTGTTATTTCGTAAAATTTCTTTTAAAAAAGGACATACTGCTTGTGGGGTAAAAAAGACTAGCGACAAATTCTAGAAAAACAGCAAAAAAAATGCATATCTGTAATGTAGCTAGGAGTTTTACTGAAAATAGTCAGTTATTTGTTGTGATATGGTTGGTTTGATTTTCACAATATAATTGCTCAAAGTCAAATTAAGCCTTTGCGCATCGCCTCACTTTATTTATTATATTTGCCACTTAGAACGGTTGTTAATTATATGGTGAAAGAAAATAAAAACAATTATTTTTTATTTCATATAACTTGTATGGGGCCATCAATAACAATGTTGTTTAATTATTTTTAGCCATACAGAACGACCCCGTTGGTGCTACCAGGTGCAAAGGTGAAGCGCGACTCAAATGCTAATGATTGCTATCTGCGCCACCACCCGAATCCGGCCATGAGGGCTCCCGTTCAGTCAACATTAAATCATGAAGTTTTAATGAAGCAAAAGGTGGGCAAATTGTTTATTATTTATTAATAAGGGAAAGAAACCAAAAGTATAAAATACTTTATTAAGTGGTGCATCATATTGGTTCATTTCTGGATGCTCTGGATGCTGGAAGTTCCATCAATACTAAGAAAGTATTGATTAATAAAATATCAGGTGCCTAACCTGATATCTTTAAAGGGACTTCAGTAATTCAAAGTTTTTGTGATTGGATCGCAGTTTCAAGAAAAATTTGAATTTAAGTTATATATTTGGACTTCACCTTTTATTTAATATATTATTAATATTGACATGTTTGATATATTTTGTGTATTTTTTGTATATACTGGATGGAATGCCCTTGCTCAAATTTCATCGAAATTATTGTAGAGAAGACTGGGTACGGTTGTGTCACTTTTTTTGATCAGCAATATTTTGTTAATTTAGCTGTTAACTGGGAGAAAAGTAAATTAAATGGTAATTTACATATATGTCTATGAGGAAATACTTAAATAATGTCTACAAATACAATAGATTAGTCATAAAATAAAATCATACAAGAAAAGGGCGAGTGACACAATCGTCCACACCCGAAGGACGGTTGTGACAGTCATAAAAATAGGGTAAGCAACAATAGGTTTAAACACTAAAATGATTTATAACGACTTCTTTTGTCAGAAATATGTAACGCAACACAACTTTATCATTTAAACATAGCTTATGAATATAGTATAACAATATAAGACAAAACCAATTTTTTTAAACAAGAAATGTTTGTGAAATCTTTTGTTTCCTTGTATTGAATTTTCTCTTCTCTTTCTCCATGGTATTTTGTCTAAGTTAAGTTACATTTTTTATCTGTTTAAATTGCGCGCAAAAAGGACAAGAAATACATGTCACAACAAATACATGCCGCATAAAACAAAACTAGTTATTGATAATTAATTACTAATGTTCAATTTACAGTAAAATAACAAACAAAGTGATCTTTGATCTATATACAAGTAATAGTTTTTATTAAAAGAAATCTAACAAAAAAACTTGGATTTAGCTATTTAAAAGCAAAGTGGTCTACAGATCATATTAATATAGGGCGCTGACTCAATGCAATAATGGAAACTTGTTTGAGCAAACATACTTCATCTTTCTTCCTTTGGACCCTATCTCAAAATCAGTATAGTCTAGCTGTTACGACTACTTTCACTATCATAAAATCTGGCACAACCGTACCCAGTCGCCTCTACTATTTTTTCACATTCATGTTGATACAATAAAATAATTATGATTATATTTAATATTACCTTTATCAGTTAAAATTTTGTTACCAGTCATTATAAGTTTGAATAATTTGCAATATATTTTTTAAAAAACGTTTTACCAAAAATTAATTTATACTATTTTTTTTAAATAATGGCATGGTTTGCATACTAAACACAATATGCTCTAAATGTTAAAGAATGTTCCATTTTATGCACACAATTGTACGTAAGTCCAAGTAAGTTGTCTATTGTTAGCACAATCGCAGTTGCCAATAAATCGGAGTGAGATTCCGAGATGAAAATCTACTCATTAATCCTTAATCCATAGACCTACATTTCTGGATTATGTGATTGCCACAGTGAAATGATAAATATTTGTGACTCCTATTTAAGATGATGGCTTCGTGAAATCAAGGAAAATATCACATTTCGTACGTAAAACCCAATGTTTTTGCAGCAAACGTTTCCGAGCTAAAACCATCCTATTGCAACATCATATTCCACGAACTAATATGTACACAAAAATATTTTATGTTGTCGAGCACATTTTAAGAAACTTTTATAATAAAATAGTTTAGAGTTATAATGGTTATTAAATATATAATATAACTATTAATAAAAATAAATAATAATATTAACTCTATATTACAAAACGGTAAATATAACATCGTACTGTAGCCCATTACAAAGTTCTCAGACTACGGTCTTAATTGACGTTTTGTGACCTCATAATTTTCTAAATGCTATAATTTTTATTTTTAGTAAAATTAGTTCTTAAAAAAATTGTCTGAAATTATTATATTCATGTTGAGATTTTTGCAAACCAATCTTTAGTTCAAAACTATTTAAAGCAATTACGCGTTTAGCATGAAAAGTTGACTTATAGATTTATTTTATTTAATAATTTAGTACTATAATTTATTAAAATGACATGAAAATATTTTGTTGACATGGTGTTTATCGTTGCCAAGAAATATACAAGAATTTGTAGACAAAGGTATTCACTCATAAAATCACTGACAGACACCTACACAAATCTGCCAAAACAAAGCTTTTTTGAAACTTTAGTTCCATATTTGAATTTTGCTTCTAAAGAACCGCAAATTTTCGATTAATATTTGCAATTCTGCTAGGAAGAAAACAGTCCTGATTGACCGATAGACAGACAAATGAGCGACTATAACAAATTTACATTTGTACCATTTTGAACAATTTTGTGGTGCAAATTAAAAAAAAAAAAACAAATGAAATTCGATACATTGGTACAACTACACGTGTCTCACGTGCATTAAAATATCATGGATTGGATTCTTCTATTTGGAAACATGTCAAGAAGCGTTGCACCGTTGTGCCAATATCTAGAATTCAGCGTTCCAAATAGTAGAATTATCTCGTATTTGAATTACATGGTGTATTGTTCTTGTAAGATATAATTTATTTCAAAAGATATATAGCTATATACATTGCAAAATTTAAAATGTTTAATTTAAAGTATCAGCTGGATCTTACAACCGATAAACATACACTCTGGTGTTGTATAATTTGATAATTCTCCTAAACGGTTATTCGGATTTTGATCATTCTTTTTAGAGTTTGTCAAAGGAAATTTTTAAGATTTAATAAACGATAAAGCTAGTAATATTCTAGAAATAATTGCAAAAATTACTAAAAAACACTTATCATTGTTTGACATTGAAAACATTTAAACTGCCATCTACTAGAAATGTCAATTCATTTGAAATTTGAATTTAGCTGAAATTATGAGCCTAGATAATATTAGAATATTATATACAAGAAAAATGTAATATCTACATTATTATTGCCGAAAAGCAGCTGAAATGTGCCAGAAATTAAAATAACATAAGATACAGTCAACAGTATATGTTGGAAGATGAAATTATATAATTCAGATTAATAAATAACGCAATATGTCCAAAATTGCATATACATTATTTTTTAAGCTTATGCATGTCGCATTTTGGTTTACTTTACTAAACTATTTTCATGTTCATAGTTTGTTTGATGTGTCAAAAATTCATTTGTATGGCATTAGATATGGAATATTTAGCAAGTTGATCTTAGATCGGAGAGTGCTCATAAGAACTAGATTTTACAAACGTATTCACCTAAGATTTGAACTTGAACAATAATGTTTGTTAAATTATTAGTAAGAAAAATGTACTTTAGAAATTGTAATTGCCAAAAAGCAACCAATATATCATACGAGATTATGAAAATTATAGACTAAATTATTGAAGCAATTATGTTGTGTGGTAAAATCAAGTGTGATATTGTTCTTTAACCGCAGATACTATTTTTTCTGAATTTCTTATACTGCTTATAATAAGAACATAAATGAATCACAACGGCTTGACATCAAATAGGATATTAAAAAGTATATGATAAAATATTTTAAAAAAATTGAACTTTTGAATTTTAGACTTGGGTACAGGACAACGTCTGTTGGGTCATCTAGTATATATATATATATATATATATATATATATATATATATACATATACATGTATATATAGCAATTATTTGATCAGTTATGTTGAATCCTTCACATTTAAATGTTGTTACAAATGAGAAAAGAAGTTTTCTGTTGCTTCTCCTAAATTCTCTCGATTTTTCTTGAAATTGTTTGAATTTTTTTAAAAAGATCAGTTAAAAAATAAATATACGTGATATCTTACTACACCCCTCCCTTCCCCACGTGATATTTCGAGATTTTTTATTAAACCTCTCTTCCCCCTAAAAACCTCACTTGATTAATAGACGCCCTCATAAGTAAAAGTAAAACATGAACTATACTATAAATATGTGTAAGTAAATTTGTGAACTGTAATTTATATTTAATTAATGAAAGTTGCAAATTAATGGTTACTTGTAATACTATATACAATCATGAACATCCGTGTAAAAATTTACGTTGACAAATTATATTCTGGTTCCAATTATAACTTGAAACGTTCAACTCAAATTGCGATATAGTGAGAAATCCTTTGTGAACAAGTTTGACTTTCACTCGACAATGCTTTCTTCTGTTTGTCTAATATTGCATTATGTAATTGTATAATATCGAAAGTGAAACATATTGTTTATCTACATATTAGTTGCAATATAAATTTTACATTTCATAATACATCGAATATAACAAATATTCAACTAATAACGGATTGATAAAGAAGAATTGCTTCAAAGACTCAAATAAATCTATTATATATTTGTCCAATAATTTCATGATTGAGGTTTTAATTTATTATTCTTACATATGGGTTTCAAAATTATTTCATATTGTAAGTTTTCTTTTTTTGAAATAACATAAAGTTGCTTACTATATCTAATTGAATAACAAAATCTGTTATATTTGACGAATTTTTGCTCTAATTATAAGTGTTGTTTTGTTCCAATACATTGCTCCTAACTATTTCCCCCTTCTAAAATTTTGAGCAATATATGTGATTAGGTTTATTTATCATAAACATTTTAATGTTAATCTCAAATTATCATAAACATCCTAATGTTAATCTTAATAATTTCATAATATAAAAAAATTAATTATATAAGGCCGTAGTCCAAGAATACGTCAATAATAAAATTTTAAGCTATTAATTAATTTTATTGTGTTTGTTGTTCAATGGTCATCGATATGTTTGTTAGACCTGTACAAAAATAATTCTTTTGTGATAGTGTTATATATATTTTTTAATAAAACAATAAACAATATCAAAGACGATTAAACTGTTTTTTTTTATTCACAGGTTGCCGATTCAGTATTACACAGAGTGGCTGGTGATAGCATAGCAAACAAGGTAGTTTATTAATTAAATATTTTTTCATTTTTACATCTTATTTAATTTATTGATAATGTAGATAATATATTAAGAATTCAACATCATTAAAGGAATATAGAATGAAATAGCAGTAGTTTTAGCATTAGCGAAAAGATTGAATGTTTTAATACGCCTAGTCGTTCTTTTCTCAATTTCTCAAGATGTACATTTTTTTTAAACAGAATGTGAAATAAAATTTTGTAAATAATCTTAGAGCAACATATATTTAAATTTATACAGGAATCTGGTATATTTTAAGATATCAGGATTCTTAACATCTAAGTTAATTTTAGCTTTTCAAGTTTTAATTTTCAAATATTGTGAATTTTATAGAAAGGAAAAAGAAAATAGAAAGGAAAAAACAACTACTGAGTTGTTTTTTCCAACATGACAATGTAGTATACAATGCCCCTTCTCGGCGGACTATTGTAAATTCATTAAATTTACTAAATGTCCTTTACTGGACAGTTGTAAATAAAAGAGTTAATAAAAAAAAAAGTTTTAATTTTATTTGATACATTATTAATTAATTGTTTTGTTTTTATTTTATAACTAATTTATAACATCCAGTGATTAGTATTAATAATATTAAATATTTTAGGTTGTGCATAAACAATTCAATTCTCCAATTGGCCTCTATTCCGATGCCAACGTCGCCGAAGCGATTCGTCATACAACAAGCCTACCGTAAGTAATCAATTTAGTATGTAATTATTTTATTATCGTTTAATTTTTAGCAAGGCTTAATAAATCGAAAACACAGCACATTTGCCAATACCTCAATTTTATTTTTTTCCGCACTCAATAGGGGCGCCACCAACTGTATCACGAAATTTTCTTATATTCGGAAAAGGTAAACCAGAAAAAATTTAATAAATGAATGAGATCGAGATTTCAAATATTTTCAACAAAATGACAAACATGTTTTCACTAAAACTATAAAAATTGTAAAAAGCGAATATTAAACTAATTATTATTTTTTTCAATTCAATTGAAAAACATATATTTCATTATATAATGTGAATATTACATACAAGTGTAAAAGTTATTAGATTAGATTTTTTTTAGATTTGAAAACATTTATTTAAATTAAGGGGCACGCTTTGTGTGACAACCTATAAAAGGTTATTTATGGGAATTAAAAAAAACTAGTGAATTCATCTATTTAAAATTTTGAGGGTATATTTTACATGTTTTGAGAATACTCAGTATAAATTTTGAAATAAAATATTAAATATTTTTGAAATAACACTCAATCTCCGGCGGCGCCAAAAAAAAGATCCTCGGCTGCTGGAGTGATTGCAGCCTTCTCCTGAAAAAAGTTAAGTTTTTTCCAAAATTTTGGCCGTTTTTGGCCTGCCAAAATTCAATTTTTGTTACGATCAAAAAACTGGAGGGTCGTCGTATGGAGAACTATATAGAAGAGATGCAAAATAAAATTTGATAGCGATCGGATCACTTGTCTTCGAGTAATCACTCCAGCAAATTCGAAAAATGCTGTTTCGAGAAAAACGCGTTTAATGATCGCCGTTATACTATATACTATATATACTCTTTTAAATGGCTGTAACTCAAAAACTATTTATGATATCGATTTAAAATTTTAGTATGTTATTTTTAAAGTTATAACCTATCGAAATATTTAAAAATTCAAAATTCAATTTTTTGAAATTTTCTCACTAGGTGTGCCCCAAATAAGGTGATACATTTGAGTTTTCTACAAGGGTGTTACACTCTTATAAATATCGCAATTGCATTTTATCTCAATCATCATAATAAAAATATACCTGTTAAAGAGAGAAAAATGTAAAGAAGAGTTACTAGATATTATAATAATATTTTGGAAAAAATAAGAATTACATAACAATCTGTTCGTTCATAATGAGATATTATGTTCCAAGTTTGGCATGGCGCGTTTGCCATACCAAACTTTTTCTTGTGCATAGTAACCAAGTGCCTGGTGGTTAGTATTAGGGTGATTCCTACAATTGAGGTAAAAGTTCCTTGCGAGCTTCTTTATTTGGTCCAAAAGCTGTCGGTACGTCAGTCTGTTCGTGTATGGTATTTTGTAGAGCAATAGTGCCTCGTCAGTTGGGTTTCTTGATTTGTTGAGTGCTAGTCGTGAAGCTTTGTTTTGTACTGTCTGTAGCCTCCGTCGGTTAGTCTTTGTTGTCGTGTTCCATGCTGGAGCAATAGCAGTACAACAATGCAGGTCTTATTAAGGTCCAGTAAAGTGTCCGCTTGTTAAGGTATTAAAAGTTTAAAGTAGTCTTGTATTATAGTAAGATAATCAGTTCTGAAAAAGAGTGAAGAAAGTGAGCACAAAAGACCCTATGTTGAGTGCGGAAAATTCTAAAATGGGGTAAGGTGTATTCTACTTGATTATTTATTCTAAATTTTCTCCGCATGGGCTTTACCACTTTACACAATTTACTTCTGCAGTAAATTATCATCCTAAAGATTAGAATTAAGTTTGCCACATATCATTATAACATACATTTTATATATAATCATTTCCAATCAAATTTACTTTTATAATTTTATAAATAGTAATAATAGATAATAATGAATAATGATAATCAATATAATCATGGTTTTATTGGCAAGCAAACTAAAAGTTATACCATTTTCTGTATTTATTAATATCAATACACAATAATAACAATACAAGTCATACAATACTATTTTGAAAAATAAAATATTCGAATTTTAAATATTTGAAATGAGTTAATATATTTAGTTTTAAATATTTGAAATTGAGTTAAATAATTTTCAAAAATATTACCCAAATATTGTAACCCTTTTTGAATGGCACAATTATATTATTAGTGCTTCAGCTATTTTATTTTTTCTCAATTATTTATCTTGGGCCGTTATTCATAAAAAAATACTACTAACCCCAAGTGGTTATAAAAATTATTACGATAATGAGTTTTTTTACTTGAATAATCATTATATTAATATTTAATATTAATAATTTTTCTTTATGTAGATATAAACCGACTGTTGTTTACGATCCCGCCAAGAGTGAGACCTTTAGAGCTTTGCAGGAAGAAGTATACGGTGGTGAAATACAAGAAGTCAGTACTCCAGCCCAAACAAAAGTGTTTCAACCGACCAAAACTGTACAATTCAAGGTAATTCTAATACATATTTACTGTTTTGTTAATAATACCGAAAGAATATCGATACATCTTAAAAAATAATTATTTTATAACAAATACAAACGTTTTGTTTTCTACAAATACAACTTTGTCTAATTTGTATTGACCTAATTATAAAATAACGTGTAAATGTGTAATTTTAGTATTCTCAGAACAAGTAAAAGCATGTAATTTCAATTGGTTTGCAAAAATTTTATTCGGATTGGAAGTGGAAAAAGTCTGGTTTGTTATTTTATGCACAAAAAATACGAGCATAATAATTGAAAGGATTCATTCTATAGGCAATTAAGTATATCCCCTTAGTATTTGGGCAGGATATATTCACATTTCGGTCTAGGCTAATCTCATACTTGTTTATCTATGGCTAATCTATATTTTTTATATTACAAATTACGAAAATGTATTTTTTACTATCCTTCCAATGCAAATGTTAACCATTATTATTTTAAAATGTTTAAATATGTAATAATTACGAATGTCACTATTATCTATTTTTAGAAACCAAATCCAGTAAGCCAACCACATTATCAGCAGAATCAATATGTAAGTATTAATGAAGAAATATAAATAAAATTATCTAATATGATTAAAAAGTTGCCTTTAATAGATACAATTATTTGGTAAATTATTGTAGAATTATAGGAATGGGAACTAAATAAAACCAAATAATTTTTTTTACTGTTAATGCGCATCAATGAAGAAAGTATAATTAGCATCAAAATGCATTTATATACTTACATTGTGAGGATTTCATTTTCAAATCCATGTTTGTGTTTATATAATTAGGTCTAAGGACAACAATAACATTTATTATCTACAGTTTTTTAAACAATTCGGGAATATTATATGTTTTCCCAATAAATAATCAGTTTATTGACTACTTACCTATGGTTATTCATTGTTATTTACAACAAATTTTTGTAAAGAATTTGAAATCAATTCTATGTTATGTTTCTTTATTGCTTATGATAAGTGATTGCAAAATACTTTTTTTGATTATATATTTTATTTTATCTTACAGCCTTTGAATGATTCTGGAGAAATTCATCAAAGCGGCTCATTCAAGAGATTAATGCACCACGTTTTAAACCAAAGCAATTATTAATTTTTTTATTAATGTAATAGGATGTTCAAATTAATTTAATTAACAATGTAAAATTTCATTTATTATTGTTCACTATAGCTTTTCCAGGTATGCCATTATTTAACATTAATAATATAATAACATTGAATAAACAAGCATTAAGATGTGCTTCAACGTTTTATCAAATATTTTTATTGTTTTTGTTAGAGTATCCTAATTTTAAGAAAAGTTTACATTTTATGCTTCTCATGCTTTTTTTCATATTAATAGAATGGTCTATATTTACAGACTATTTTATTTAATATGTTCAATGAGTGTAATCTAGTCAAAGCTTAGTTTTGAAATAGAGCATATTAAAATATCCAAACTACATATTGAAATTATTATAATTCTGTATTTGCAACATTAATTAGCTTCTAAAATATATTATAGTTAACAATATGGTAGTTCCATATATAAGTTTTATTTTATTTTTCAAAAAAAAAAAACAAATGTTACTTCATGTATGTATATATATATTAAATTAAATGTTGGTATCTATAACAATAATGAATAATATGTTGCATTATATTGTATTAAAGAAGTTTTAGAATATAGTGCAAAGTCATATTACGTACATTCGCATAATTCATGTACTTTGTAAATTTTGGAGCATTATAGCAAATTGTTTTTATCAAACGAGATATAAATAAAAATCACTTTATTCAACTTCAATGACTTGAACAATATCAATCTATAAAAAAGGTATTAGTATGATAGTAACATAGATAAAAGAAGAATATAATATGGATAGTAACTACTAATATGGATAAGATGAATAAAATACAAAAATAATGCTCAATTTTTTTCTACTATATTTATTGATAAACTATAAATATAATTTAATTAATTCATCGCTAACTGCTGATGGAGTTAATATACCTAAATCTGTAAATAACAATGATATATATGCTGGTGGTGTATAATCTACAAGAGGGTGCTCATGACTTAAATTCTTTTGTATGCGTGTTGTTGTAGTGTATTTAAATTCTGCAGGCACATCTTGTTGGCTAAGCGGATATAATCTAGAAAATTTAAAGCTTTCAGTAAGTACATAAAATGGTTTCTTCATTTCCCTAGCACACAATGCCATAGTATAACTTCCAACTTTATTAATAATTCCACCACTCTCCACTACACCTTCGGCTCCAACCATAACTATATCGATTTGCTCCATAATACAGCCAATAGCGGAATCCAAAATAAGTGTGCATTGTATACCTTCGCATTCTAAATTTTTACACATCACTTCACCGCTATTATCAGGTGCTGAGTTTGTAACAAACACATGAAAATGTTTACTTTTGGCTGCTTCTTTCAATGTTTCGAGCACAACCCTTGATCTGGAGTGTGTTAAAACTGCACAGCCATCGGTTATAAACTGTGAAGCTAGTTTTGCTATGATACCTCTCGCTTCGACTAGTTTCTTTAAGAATAATTTTCCTCGATGTAACATGACTTGTTTGCATTCGGCAAAGGTTTCCTGATCTAGTTTAGCTAATGTAATGAACCTCAAGAATAGTTCGCAGCCTGAAGCAACTGCTGTTACTGGTTGATCGGTACTCCTCATTATTTCAACAGCAGATTGTAGAGAAGCATGCAGTTCCTGTACGGTTTCACTATTATAACATTCCAGAACTTTTAATAGTGTTCGAATTGCAGCCATTCCAGCAGAGACATCGGTTTCTGTTTTTAATATGTCTTCGAAAAATGTTTTTATCTCTGAAACGGTCATAGACAAGATCAACGTTGGAGAAATATGGTATTATTATGTATTATTTACCTTCACGATCCATTTTTTATATCAATAATATTGCGTACTAACTAAAAGTATCATTTGTAATTGAAGCTTGAGGAAATAATATTTGTTTGGTTATGTTGATACTTTTGACGTTTACACTCGTTAGGTAAGCACATAGAGCTATCAGTCTAGACAACATTAGAATACCATGAGCCATAGATAAGGATGTGGCTATCAATACAAGATTAGACAAAACCGTTGAAGAAACAATTAATGAAGTTGTATCCGAAATGCAGAGTTATTCTGTTATTCTTGATTGTTTTGAGATTGAGACTGATACTCCACATAGTATTGACCATGCAGCCTACACATACTCAAACTATAAAAGAATGTATTCAGTAAAGGTGTGTAAAACTTTTTTTGTAGCTACAATATAAATAATATTTTGAAAGTACTTCAATTAATCTTATTTATTTATAGGTTCTGATTGGTTGCACTCCTAGACAATAATAGAATGCCATGTGTTCATAAAGCCATCCGGCTTTATTTCCTTTGTAGGTGATGTGGGTTTGGGCTGAATAACTGACACCCAAATTACTATGCTTTCGGGAATATTAAATAAATAAGAACCTGGAGATGCTATATTTACAACGGTAAATTCATGAGTAAAGAAAGACTTATATAGTTTCCAATTGTGCTTCGTATTCAGGATTTCCACCTATTCGGACCTAATTAGATAAATTAAGAAATATGGCTGTTCTTGTTCATCTCCCTTTTGTCCAAAATGGATTACTATTGCCAGAAGATATCATCAAAACGTACTCATGTGCGTATACATGTTGAACGAGTTATACAGAGATTGAGAGTTTTTATAATACTGCATCATATACCGAAGGATCTTATTTTTAGATTTTTAGCTGATAACATTATGTATGTATGTACCATTTTAGCAAATATACAAACTTCTATCATTAAAGAAGAGGGTGATAAATGAATGTTTATATTAGGTTTATATGCATTAATTGAAAATGTTGCTTTATATTCATTGAATACATATGTGTCATAACTCTTGGCTTAGAGTTCCTTGACTTTGAAAGTTTATACTGGATTTTTAATTTTATATGTAATACATTTGAAAAGGCTTAAACATGCTATATATTCATTAACAGTATCATAATTCTTGATTTCAGTCTTTATATGGATTAGTTTGTAGTTTAGTTTATAGTTAAGTTTTTAAAGAATTCCACTTCTAAACAAATTAATGTTCGTTATATACTTAATCATGAACATTACCAGTCAACTTCTGAGTGACTTTGAACATGGACAACACATATTTAAGCTGAAATTAGGAAAACATATTAAGGTGATCAGAAAACTGCAAACCACGCTGAGCTCATGGCATGCCATTAATTGAAAACAGTGGTGAACAGTTCTTGCATGTACCTACAATAATCTAAAACCAAAAACCGATTTAATGGTTCAAAAACATTCGATTTTATTGATAAGGAGATGTGCTGATTAGTTTTGGTAAAGGCAGGTTTAGCCGTTTCGGAGATATGGAGCAAGAGTGCAAAAAATAGAATATTAAGG